ACCTTTAGGACATGGTGGGGGGTTTGATGACATTTGGGGACAGTGGGGGGGGGACATTGGGGACATGGGGGACAGGGGGGACAGTGGGGGGGGATTGGGTTCGCTGGGGACATTTGGGACATTGGAGATGATGGGGACATTGGTGACCCTTGGTGACCCTTGGGGACATTAGGGAGACACAAGGCAAGACCCTGGGGACATTTGGGGACATTGGGGACATTTGGGGACACCTGGGGACATTTGGGGACATTTGGGGACATTTGGGGACATTTGGGGACCCGGGGAGTGATGGGGACACGAGGGGACAGGGGAGTGATGGAAACACAGGGCACACATGGCAGGGTCCCGGGGACACCTGGAGACCCCTGGGGACACCTGGGGACACCTGGGGACCCTCGGGGACCCTCGGGGACATCGCGACCCCCGCCCGCTCCGCTGCCCCCCGTTTACGACACCGCTCCCCCCTCCCACCGCGGCTTTGCGACAGCGGCGCTTGGCGGCCGCGCCCGGCGGCGGCGGCGGTGCTTTACGGCCCGGCCATGGCGGAGGGAGAGCGGGCGGGGAACGGCGGCGGCGCCGGCCCCGGGCGGCCCCCGAGCTCCGCCGACATAGAACGGGCCGAGGAGCTCAAGGCCCGCGCCAACGAGTTCTTCAAAGGTACCGGCGGGCAGCGGGGGCTACCGGGGAGGGAGCCATGGCGGGGAACGGCGGGGAACAGGGGCTGCCAGATAGGGAGCCACAGGGGGGAATGGGGGCTGCCAGATAGGGAGCCGCTGAGGGCAGTACAGGGTAACGGTGCTGCCAGATAGTGACCGATTAAGGGGTAATGGGGGGTGCCAGATAGAGAGCCAGTGAGGGCAGGGCGCGGTAACGGGGCTGCCAGATACTGCTCCCTTAGGGGTAATGGGAGCTGCCAGATAGGGAGCCGCTGAGGGCAGTACAGGGTAACGGTGCTGCCAGATAGTGACCCATTAAGGGGTAATGGGGGCTGCCAGATAGAGAGCCAGTGAGGGCAGTGCGAGGTAACGGGGCTGCCAGATAGTGATCCATTAGGGGTAATGGGAGCTGCCAGATAGGGAGCCGCGGCGGTTAACAGGGATTAACGGGGGATAACGGGTCTGCCAACGGGGCTGCCAGATAGTGATCCATTGGGGGGTAATGGGAGCTGCCAGATAGGGAGCCGCTGAGGGCAGTGCGGGGTAACGGGGCTGCCAGATAGTGATCTATTGGGGGTAATGGGGGCTGCCAGATAGGGAGCCGCTGAGGGCAGTGCGAGGTAACGGGGCTGCCAGATAGTGATCTATTGGGGGTAATGGGAGCTGCCAGATAGGGAGCCGCTGAGGGCAGTGCGAGGTAACGGGGCTGCCAGATAGTGATCTATTGGGGGTAATGGGAGCTGCCAGATAGGGAGCCGCGGCGGTTAACAGGGATTAACGGGGGATAACGGGTCTGCCAGATAGGGAGCCATAGCAGTTAACGGGGGATAACGGAGGCTGCCAGATAGGGAGCCACGGAGGTTAACGGGTCTGCTAGATAGGGAGCCATGAGGGGTAACGGGGGCTGCCAAATAGGGAGCCACTGGGGGTAAGGGACAGTGGGGGGCTGCCAGATTGGGATCTATAGGGGACAGTGGGGGCTGCCAGACTGGGATCTATAGGGGACAGTGGGGGCTGCCAGACAGGGATCTATAGGGGAGAGTGGGGGCTGCCAGACTGGGATCTATAGGGGACAGTGGGGGCTGCCAGACTGGGATCTATAGGGGACAGTGGGGGCTGCCAGACTGGGATCTATAGGGGACAGTGGGGGCTGCCAGATTGGGATCTATAGGGGACAGTGGGATCACTTCTGACCTTTGGGTTCTGTCCACTTCTGGCCTTTGGGGTCTGGTCACTTCTTGCTTTTGGGCTCCGGCCACCCCCATCCTTTGGCATCTGCTCACTCCTGACCTTTGGCATCTGGTCACCTGCACTTTTTGGGACCTGGTCACTCTCAGCCTTTGGGACCTGGTCACTCCTGACCTTTGGGACCCGGTCACTCCTGACCTTTGGGATCTAGTCACCTGCACTTTTTGGGACCTGGTCACTCCTGACCTTTAGGACCCGGTCACTCCTGACCTTTAGGACATGGTCACTCCTGAC